CCCTTAATGATCACTGCTCCTTTAGTGTGAAAATAAGGAAAGTATGTCATGCCGTCAAGTAAAAACATTTTCTAAAAATGAGCAACTTCTTTTCTTTTCCATTTACCTTGCAAATTGAATTTTAAATAAACCTGGCCTCCTGTATGGAAATCTCTTAATAACACCCTATAACATTCATCCTAACCCATCTTAACCCGTTCGGCGTTGGGCCAAACGGTGAACCTTTGTGTATGTATGTCCAACGTCATTGGTATGTGTCATAACACGTCTATAATACGTTGTGATTATAGTTTGCATGTATACAATCTGTATTTTTAGGATATTTTTAACCTTACTACTATGAGGCCTATTTCAAACGTCGAACCTTACATGTTTCGAATAAAACTCGGCTTGGGCGTTTCCTGAAATGACGTAAAGCTTCAGACATTTATACGATATATAAGCATATTAAAGCTGAAATGGGCAAAGAGGCAACGATCAAAGAACATCTTTCAAAGGAAAGTATGAAATAATATGCTATGCTGTGATGAATGTATTACAAACAACTGCAAAAACATATTGTTTATCATGGTTAGGCGTTTTTATTCATTGGTTTATGGATGCGCCAACCGTAAATATTCAGTGGCTGGTTGTTCAAAGGTGGGTTAGCTTAACCCTAGGTTAAGCTAAAATTCAAAGCAAACTTCCTGACAGCTTGTCTATATAATTAAATTTGGAAATATTTCTTCAGAGATTTTGTCTGGATCGGAGTTTACTTCTCTGAAGTTTTGAAATAAACAGACGTGTAGAAATATACGAACTAAAACAGCAGGTTCAATTTTAACCCAGGGTTAGCGCTGATCCACCTTTGAACAACCGGCCCCTGAAAGTGAAAAATAAAAAAATTTGGATGTCAACAATTTTACGATTTTAGTTAATTTTAGACATGAAGTACACGCCTGACATGAAGTACACGCCAAGTAAACTTTGATTCTGAGTACTACTGGCTCATGTTGTTGTTGTGACAATCTTGAAAAACAATGTGTTTTTTTATTTTTTCCGACCTACCGACCTGGTTTTTTTTTCAAGTAAAATCCGTAAACCAATAAATAAAAAAGTCTCGCCTTACTATACTCTAAATTTGAGCCTAGATTTAATTTTTCCGAAGTTGCAACATGTGACATTTCAACAACATTACAGCTTCAAAGCCACACCCAACAGAATTGAACTTGACACATGCACAATGCTAGCCTCCTCCGCAGGCATCGCCTTTCGATTATCGGGCAAAATTTCTTGCAGGCAAAAAAATCTCACCGACTTTCTGAAGTACGTGAAATACGAGATGCCTGCGGAGGAGGCTAGCACAATGCGACGTTTGAAACAGGCCAAGGTAAACAGTAACTTATCACCCTCAGATAAATAAACTTCATTATTATTATCATTATTATTATCTTCTTATTAACCGAGCGCGAGGTCTTTATACAGAAATATCGGACCGACGTCTTTTTTTGTACAGATCGAGCCCGTAGGGTGAGGTTTGTACAAAAAGACCGAGGTCCGATGTCCGATATTTCTCTATAAAGACCGAGCGAGGTTAATAAATATATATGGCATTTATAAGCACTTACACTCGAAACAAACAAGAAATGAATGATTTGAAATGCATATTAGTAGCGTGGTACACATTTGGTCGAAGAAAACAAACAATAACAATGTATTCCTTCCTTTCCATTGAAAACCATTCGCAGATATTTTATTAATAACAAATTAAATTATAATTTTCAAATTTTCAATTAGTTGGACCATTGAAAGTGCTTCTCACCCAATCACAGTCCACCATATCACCGGAAGTGATGCTTGCCATATAATATAATAAGACAATATAATCTTTTTTTAAATAATTATATACCCGTAATATAGCGTCAGTTGAAATAGACATTGCAAAACTTTGACAATATAATCTTTTTTTTAATAATTATTGTAATATAGTGTTAGTTGAAGTGGACATGATAAACTATACCTGTAAAGCGAGGTTTATCATTACAGCTGTATACATATTAATAATCAATAAATAAAGTTTCCATTATTGATTTATTGTTATTACTTGTAAAACATCTTGTATACTCTGGGTCAGTTTACAAAAATGTTCATTATAAGTTTGTAAATAATATTAGTCAAGAAGACTATTAATTGCATGCAGTTTATCTTAAAATAGGTTTTTGCATAGCATTTGGAAGACGACTAGCTCCCATTGGTTCATTTTCTGCAATCGATAAATCATTATCAACAATCGATTAATTAACATTAATTGATTGTATCGACTAAATCTAGATACGTCCACAGTGGTTAACAGAGAATTTGAGCAAGACAACGAAGTACGACGACAAACACGTACTTGTCAATTCTTGCCCTTGCGGCGATGTTTCAGATTCATGCCTCGCTAGTGTGAATACTGACCCTAATCCTTACCCTCACAAAATAGCGAGACCTGAAACTACATCCCGTCTTTGTTCGTGACGACTTCGTTCTGAACGGAGGCAGAAGAGCAAAAACTGCTTAGGGATTCACTGAAATACTCCCTGCTATTGGACAATCGGATCACATGTCAGTCCTGTTACACCCCGTTAGTAACAATCACCGCCCTAATACCATTACCAAAGTCTGGGTCAGAAAGCGGAAGCAATCAAATATGCAGGCATTTGGTCGATTTCTTTTGGATCTTAACTGGAATGTACTTTCGCAGCTACCCGATTGTCAAAAAATGTGTGACCTGTTTTATGACATTATTCTCATGGGTTTGAATACAATTTTTCCCCAAAAATCTGTTAAACTTCACTGTAGAGACAAAGCGTGGATTACCCCTGAAATCAAACTCCTCATCTCCCAACGACAAAAGGCCTTTGCCTTGGGAAATACAATTGAATACAACAAATTGCAAAATAAAGCAATTCACGTCGTGAAACAGGCAAAGTCTAAATACTTCGAGTCTCAAGTGAATCATCTAAAAAATTCAAAGCCAAGGAAATGGTGGAGTGCTATTAAAAACCTAGCTGGCTTTTCTTTAAAGCCTGCCTTCCATTCTGCAGAGGTGAATGGAACTATCTTGCAGGGACGAGACTTAGCACTCGCTGTTAATAACGGGTTTTTAGCCGCCACTAAATCGTTACCACCGCTTTCAATTACTGATAAATTATCTGTGGAAGAACCTACTGTTTTGTACCCTATCTCCGTTGTTGATGTCGAATCGCGTTTAAAAGCAGTTAAATCGAATAAAGCTCCTGGTTCAGACTCTCTGCCAAATTGGATTCTCAATAACTTTTCAATGGAGATTTCAGAACCTGTGACAATGATTTTTAATGCCTCCATTAAACAAGCACAAGTTCCAATGCAGTGGAAAGAAGCAAATGTCGTTCCCGTCCCTAAGATATCCTCGGTCACGGATATATCTTCAGACCTGCGACCTATATCTCTGACCGCCACGCTCTCAAAGGTTCTTGAATCATTTCCATTTCAATGGATTATGGATACCATTAAGTCTCAGTTGGACCCGAAGTAATTCTGATCGTTAAAAGGCTCTTCTACGATAGACGCATTAATTAGCATGTTCCACTGTTGGTATTCTAACACAGACGGCAATGGCGAGACTGTTCGTGTTTTTCTGCTTGACTTTAGTAAAGCATTCGACAGAATCAACCACAAAATCCTGATAAAAAAGATGCAATTACTAAATATTGATAAATAAACTGGGTTATTGATTTCCTGATGCAAAGAAGACAGAGGGTGAAATTGGGTTCTTCCTTCTCTGATTGGTCCTTGGTAAATGGAGGCGTCCCGCAAGGTACAATCCTTGGCCCATTACTTTTCCTCATCATGGTCAACGATTTGGCTATTAACCACAAAGATAGATGGAAATATGTTGACGACACTAGTCTCTCCGAAACAATCGGTAAAGGTTGTCAAAGTAACCTGCAATCCGTTATTAATAATATCGATCAATGGTGCACGGAAAATGATATGATGCTTAATCGTTCTAAATGCAAAGAGCTAATTATCTCGTTTGCCACCGAACCAAACCTAATGATCAAACTTGCGAAATTGGAAATATAATCTCAACATAAACAACGCATTTTGGAGGAAAATTAGTGAATTTACAAAACGAAAAATCGAAACAATGTGGCCTTACAGTCTTTCAGTTGTACAGGTCATACCCATTCTCAGAAGTGTGATCATGAACTATTAAAAAATTCTTAAAATAAGTCCTACTTGGAGGCTGTGTTACTGAACGTTTAAGCCCCGTTGTATTTTTAAGTGCAGGAACAATATTTTCCTGTTCACATTTCAATTCAGGAAACGTTGAGCGTGTATGGTGTTCAGTTTTAAAAATAAAGCATCTATTTCGTTCTCTAGGTGATACATTTGTTATATTTCATCCCAAGACTGTTTGGCGTGGCAATCTTCTCTGGATACGACACAAAATGTGCTCTACACAAAACCCTTCGATTTTCGATTGCACGCAGGAGTTTCTTGTGGCACGTCCGAAACAGTGGAACTAATGTTGGCTAGTATCATCCATCTTATCTTCTTTCTGTCTTTACTTCATCTGTGGCGCGCACAAGCAAGTGAAAATACGTAAAACATGTAGCAATGTCGCGTTCTGGAGTATGATGATACTATTCTTCATAACCTCCGCGAGTTTCCTAGTGCAAATCATCAATACAGACCCAGAAGACATGGCATTGTCCTTCGCGTTGTTTATATGGTGGCCGTCAACTGTCGTGCAGATGTTTTACCTGGACAATCTAGCCCCTGTCACCTATCCACGTAGCAAACCACTGTGCCATTCATGCAATGGAAAATCGTAAGTGAATTTAATCTTAGACAATTTTTTGTATTCCATACACACATTAGTTTATTCCGTCTTATGTTCCATGATCAACTAGAAAAGCAATGTGTTGAACATTATTGTGTTTATGACAATATCTGATGTTTCTTGTTAACCCATGAATTAGACTGCTAAAGCAGCAAGCCCTATACACTGTATAATGCTCCGTTTTATTGTGCCATGTGACACTTGTCAGGACTTTATAAGCTGGGATGTGTTGTTTTTTGTTAATTTTTGGTATAACACTTTATAGTTTGTAGTTTATTTTGGTAACGCAGTAGATGTACTTCGCTATTGTACTTGAGTAGTATTTTTGAGCATGAGCATGTAACGAAGTAAAGTTTTGCCAGGGTACTTTTTACATGGAACGAAGTCATTTAATGAAGTAACTTTTTATTTCGCTACTTCTATCAATTATACCTGAATGACTTATTTCTGATAATACATTATATAATATACAATAATATAATATGAATCATGACCATTGCATGGTATTGCACTTTGACAAAGTCCAATGCCCCCAATGGCCATGTCTATGAATTGATGCGTAGCCGGCGTGCTGAGCAGGATGATGGCTATATATGTTAACAACTAAGCCACGCTAACTAAATTCCAATGAATTTAAATTTGCATGCGCTGACTAGAATTATGGCTATTTTAGCAACTAAGCCACGCTAACTAAATTCCGATGAATTTAAATTTGCATGCGCTGACTAGAATTATGGCTATGTTTATAACAACTAAGCCACGCTAACTAAATTCCAATGAATTTAAATTTGCATGCGTTGACTAGAATTATGGCTATTTTAACAACTAAGCCACGCTAACTAAATTCCGATGAATTTAAATTTGCATGCGCTGACTAGAATTATGGCTATGTTTATAACAACTAAGCCACGCTAACTAAATTCCGATGAATTTAAATTTGCATGCGCTGACTAGAATTATGGCTATGTTTATAACAACTAAGCCACGCTAACTAAATTCCAATGAATTTAAATTTGCATGCGTTGACTAGAATTATGGCTATTTTAACAACTAAGCCACGCTAACTAAATTCCAATGAATTTAAATTTGCATGCGCTGACTAGAATTATGGCTATGTTAACAAATCCACGTTAACTAAATTCCAATGAATCTAAATTTGCATGGAGTGTCTTTGAGGAACAAGCAGTGTGAACACAACTTGTCGACAGCTTGTGAACAGATTTGTAACAACGTCCATCTCTTTATCGACCACGTTTATATACCGCTTAATTTCCAAGCCCAAATCCAAGATTTCGACTTGTCAATGACAATGTACTACGTTCTGACATTTTGAGATTTGCCAACCATGTCTCAAAAATACAGTTCGAGTTAACCGGGTAAATTTGAGCAAGGGAAAATGAAATTTGTTCGAATTATAGCGAGGAGTTCCAGTTAGCGAGTTCGAGGGGTTCTACTGTAGTTTCGGATTTAATAGTGCATGCAGATGTGACGTGTCCATAGATTGCCACAAGTCGTTCGTCGCTCGCTGCTCGCGTTTCGTTCGAGTTCGACTTGTGGCAAGTCTAGCATGTCCACAAAACAAGAGTTGACTGTATATAATAAGATTCCAGATTTTACAACTTCCTTGGTGAGTTAGAAATGCATGTAAAGCTTACAGAGCTCAGACCTATATCGCAAAGAGCTGGCAGATTTTCTGGGTCAAAGCTTGCACTCTTAGGGACCGGTCATTATTTATGGTGGGGGGTGGCACCGAAGAGAAATGTTTTTCGTGGCAAAAATTTTGCTGACCCAACCATTAAAAAGACAAATAATTGATTACCCAACCTCAAATATAAATTGAAAAATAATTACCCACCCCTGGCCAAAAACTTTACAAAAGGATACCATTCAGTTGTCACACATGTCTTTTACCACTTCTATGACATGAGTTTGATAACGGCTTGTGAAATTTTCTGCAGTCTAAAGTTTCATGTTGTCTGCACATGCACTTTCTTTGGAAACACGTACCATTTGTTTTGTCAAAATGACCAAGATAGTGACTCTGATTGATTCACGTATTGTATTGACAAATGACTGTTGACATTGCTTTTCAGTCTCCAGTATTTCAGTGGGTCATGCTTTGGAAATGACAATAAATTTTTATTACCCAACCCTTGAGTTGTTTTGTTTTTCATTTACCCAACCTTTTACTCACTCAAAATTTTGATTACCCAACCCTTTTCTCTTCGGTGCCACCCCCCGCCATAAATAATGACCGCTCCCTTACAAAAATGTAAGTCATGGATACGGTGGTCAAGCTACTACTGTAAGGCTCGCCGTCTAAACGCGGCTTAATTAAGATGCAATATGCTCTTTGTAATTTATTCTGTCTAAGACAATTTTACCAGAATATTTTGCTTGTCAAGGGAACTATACCACAACAAATCTTTGCACAGTTTTCTCATAATTTATTTTCTCCTTTTTTAATTCGTTCTTATTAAGGACTAATGGTGGAAAACCATGTTACCACAAGAACAAATTTGACACGCTATGGCTTTACTTAATCTACAAGCTGTCACTGATAACTGATTGCATTGAATGCTTTGCGTTTGCCAGCGCGGCAACCCTCGACGCTACCCTAGTGCTTCCTGTCACGGACAAGCTTCCTGTCGGCGTCGCAAAGATTTTCCTAGGGATAAGGGTAGTATTGGTGTATGGTATCTGTTTTTTGTATTTTCAGAAAATATTACACGGTCACCGTACGCTCTTCGCAACACCTGGTGAATCATTAGAACGAGTACGACGTGGGGTTAAAGAAACAGAAATATGACGTTATTAAAAAATAATGACAGTCAAGTAAAAATATTGAATTATGAAGTCACTGCTTTTAAAAATGAACGACTTTTTTGTTTCCATGATATATTGTATAACTTGTAAAAGATTCTATATACTCTGAGTAGCTTACAAATTATATTTAATAGAATTGTTTAAATATATATTGGCATTTGGTAAAGAACCGCAACATCCAGACAACAACTTCAGACGAACTGTTGCTCGGTAGAGGAAATCATGAAATGCATTTCTACTTTCGGGCATAATTGAACATTTTCGTCAGTACAAGGCTTGAAACAATTAGCTAATATTAATAGTACCGTAATCGTATACATTAGCTATTGTTAACTATTTTGTAAAGATTGTATTTAACAAATAGATAAGATTTTGCCGTTGTCTGTTCAATTATAGATAGACTGTATGACGTCATTTCAATTTCATCATATTTCACAAAAATGGACGCTAAAATCAGTCTTATTTCCACTTCAGCAGTTCAGCGGAAAATTCCAGTCAAACATATTGGAAAAACAAAATTTTCAAAACGCTGTAACTTGCATCCTGAATCTCCAGACATCATGAAATTTTCATTGCAGACTAAGTCGAGCATGGAGATTCCAATTCTGATAATAAATAATAAATCAATATAAAATATATATACCACTGAGCTCAGAACATCGTGTCATTTTTTACCCTTTCACCGCGTGATGATAGTCCGTCATTCAGATGACG